CTGAGGCAGGAGAATTGCATGAACCCAAGAGGCAGAGGTTGCAGTGAGCGGAGGTTGTGCCACTGCACGCCAACCTGGCTGACAGTAAGAGACTCTGTTTCAAAAAACAACAACAAAAAAATACAGGAAACAAGGCTCTGTTGGAGCCTGGATAGGGAAAAATATATGCAAAAGGGACAGGGGTCAAAACAGGAAAATCACATTGAACCGGAATTGGTAAGAGGAAGGAAAATCTCAAGTGTTCTTGTTTCCTGGTTAATCATCACTGGACACCACATTTTGAAAAATGATAATAATAACTATTATCAGATTGCACTTCAAATGAAAATGTAAGCAGGGCATGAAACATTGTCCTCAGCAAAAACCTCAACAATTGAGGAAAGAAAAAAAAAAAGCCCTGGCATGGAGGGCCCTTGGAACCCTCACATCTGCAAGAGTCTGCAGCCTGTGCCAGGCACTGGGGTGCAACCAAGATCATAAAAGTCCCTGTCCTCAGGGAGCTCATGCTCTCATGGGGAGGAAGACAGACATGCAAAGAGATCTAGAATGTGCGGTCAGGTGTTGATAAGAGCTCCGGAGGGAGCAGAGCAGGGAAAGGTCAGAAAGGGAAGACCCAGTGTCTCTGAACGAGGTATCAGGAAAGAAGTCTAAGGATGCCCTGATGTGAGCAGGACCTGAGGGCAGTGTGGAGGGAGCCGTGCAGACCTCTGGGGAAGAGAATTCCAAACAGAAAAATGCCGAGGTCAGAAGTATTGAAGGAATGGGTTCATGCCACTGACCTTCACCCAGTAGGACAGTAGGACAGTAGGACACAAACACACAATCACACACACACACAAAAAGAGGTATGTGTGGATTTTGTGTGTGTGTGTGCGTGTGTGTCTTCAAGGCTGATGATTGAAGAGATCTTCTCAGGATACATGGCCCCATCTTTTCACCCCAATACATAGGTCTCAATATTGACTGATGCTCTCTCCACCTACTAGCATCACTTTTAATCTTCTGGAACTCGCCCACCACTGCCCAAGTCACAATTGAAGCTCAGCCAACCAATATTTCCGAGGGGAATGATGTTCTTCTACTTGTACACAATTTACCCAAGAATCCTGTTGCCTACATCTGGTACAAAGGGCAAATAATGGACCTCCAACATTACATTACAGCATATACAATAGACACTGAAAGAATTATATTTGGGCCTGCATACAGTGGACGAGAAAGAGTATATTCCAATGCATCCCTGCTGATCCAGAGTGTGAACCAGAAGGACGCAGGATCCTACACCGTAAAAATCATAAAGCGAGGTTACAGGACTGAAGGAGTAACTGGACATTTCACCTTATATGGTGAGTGATTCCACATGATCCCTGGTTGTTGGGGGGTGGGGGTCACTTCTACTTTGCACACACAGGATGGTCAGGCCTGGACTGTGCCTGTGTCCCTCTCTGCATTATGTCGCATGTTTGGATTTTGGCTTTAGTGCAGGACACACACAGAGGAGACAAACTACAACAGATCAGAATTCCTTTCCTGCCTCCAGAACCTCTAGACACTTGCTGCACAGGAAGGACAGTCTGATGGGATGGGGGGTGCTCACCAGGAGGAGATCAGCCTCAGCCAAGCACCTCATGACCTCTTCATAAACTTGACCCTGAGAAAGACCCTGGAGAAGTGAGTAGGGCTTTGCCAAAGAGGACCCCTGAGATACTCTCAGAGAAGCTCAGCCCAAGAAGCCTCAACCCCAGACCCCGTCCCTAAATCCTTACTCCAGATAAAGCTGAGGAGCTTGTGTCACTTCTGGGTTGTGACAGGGCTTACTGGGACCAAGGATTCACCAGCTGTCTGACGACAGTGTCTCCTGGAGCTGCTCACTAGCGAGGGCTCAGCCCTCAGAACCTCATCTGGTCAAGGACAGACCTTTCTTCACCTGACACTCAGAGTGGAGAGGACAGAAAGGCAAGCTTTGTAGGCGATCAGCCAACTGCCTTGTGGGGCTTAGGACACTCCATAGGTAGTCTAATGTCCCCAGAAGCAGAAACAGAAGACAGAAAATGTACCTGGCAGCAGTTTGTCCACAGAGATCTGAAATAAAGGTGCTCTCTCATGGAAGTGAATAACAATAAATGCTGTTTGTGTGAACACCTCCACTGTGCCAAGTATTAGGTCCGATGACTGTGAAGAATTTACAATTTATTCACAGATAGCATGAAAACCCACAGTCCATTTGCCATTTAGCTTATTTGACTGGGAGATAACTGAGGCACAGGAAGGCACAGTCACTGAACCAGAGTCACACAAACACAAAAGGCAGATCAGGGTCACATGAGGTCTGTCTGGAGCCACAGGCCCATCCTCTCCTCCACCAGAAGTGAAGGCTTATTGGGTTCCAATGACCCTGTAGTAATTTATTGGCTCAAATCCTCTCTTCTTAGGCATCCAAACCTCAAAGGAGTGAGAGCAAATGGTCAGCTGATTAGTCTGCACTCCAGAACTAAATCACCAGCCTCAACCATCAGAGTCAGTACAAAAAATGTCCAGGCATCCCCCTCAGATCTTAACAACTATCACTGAACCTGAAATCCTATGTTTCCCAAAGTGTCCATGTCACTGGCATGACAGGATAAAAGAGAGGACCTTGTTTTCATTTCCCACTCACACCCCGCACCAGCACAAGTCCAGTGGGAGACACACCCTCAGGTGCTCTCACATAACAAATGAAGGAATTGAATGAAGGAATGAATGATCCATAACCGCTTTAGAGACTGGATCCTGGATGAAGAATCCTAGGAAATTCTCGCCACACCTGTCCCTTGTCCTTCAGAGGCTGACACCCACGTTTCATCCCCCAACTTCCTCTTGCCCCTAAAGCCATCCCACTTCATGTGTTACTCTGAAGCTCTTTGGCCACTAGAGGGTTTTCAGGGCTCCCTGGTCCTGGACTGTGGAAACGGGAACACCTGGTCCCTGGGGTCACTGAAGTCACTGTATGCCCCACTGTTCACTGTCATGTTGTCTCTGCCTCTCTCTGCTTCTCTGTGTCCCTCATCTTCCTCCCACTTCATTCTACCTGGCAAGCCCTGTCCTACACAGCTTCTTCCTCCATCCCTAGGCCTTCCCCAGACACTCCCTCTAACTAGGCTGACTGTTCTGTTCCCTTCCTGCTAACACTGTGACCTGGCCCACCTCCCAGGAAACAGGAAAGGCACAGAAATCAACTGCAATTTCCACTCCTGAAAAGCTTCATCTCGTGCCAATGTCCCCAGGTCACTAAGAGAATGAGCTTCCACTGTATCCCCATCCAGGGATCTTTCCCTTTGTGAGGCTGATCTGTGGACAAGACCGTGGGTTAGGGATAGGCAGCTCCTCCATCCACTCTTATAATTCCCAAACAAGTTCTTCTGGCCTCCTGCACAAACAAAACCAATTTATCCCGATGGTGATTTGCAGTAAAGAAAGATTTTAA